GTGCGCGCTTTTTGGCATGATCGCTCCGAGGCTCACCGGGGATCGGGCCGCTGATGTGCTACTTCTTGATGAACTCCACCACTTCGGCGTCGCTCTTGCTGAGTGCAGGGGGCCGTGGATCTTCCGCGGGTGCCGAAGCTGGCGCGTCGGGTGGTGGTGGGGCGCTTGGCGAAAACGGCGCGGAGGCTTTGCCTCCGCCGCTTCCGCCGACGTTTCTCTCTCTCTCTCTCTCTGTTTCTTGTTCGCTTTTGTTTAGCAGTCTTTCTCTCTCTCTCTCTCTCTCTTCTCTCTCGTACCAGTCCAAAATGAAGTACACAGGTCTGTTCACATCTGGGGCGCCGTGTCAACCATAGCCCTTCCGACGGCCATGGCGATGCTGATGCTCATGATGGAGCGCCACTTTGCCAGCTACCGCGCTGGTTTGATACCACGGTTCCTCTCCCCTCTCTCTCTCTCTCCCTCTCCTACTACACGCACAGGCGAAACCGACCGGCGATAACGACATGATCAATGAAAAATGTCGCCAACACCTGGACGACAACAACATTTTCAATCAGAGCTGCGGGCCCGGAAAAGCCAGAACATCATTCAGAGATGAGCGTGTCGCCAGGATGCAAGTGTCACGCCCACTCCGCGCGGGCTGGGCTCGGTGTCGCCGAAGTCCGGGTGACGTTAGGTGGGTTGCCCACGTTAGGTGGGGCGTTGTACTGTTCCTCCGTCCCTCCTCCGCCCTCTTGGTGCTCCTCGGCGTGCGCCGCCTGGCTAACCTCATCAAGCTATTAAGGACCCCCCCAGGGTTATCATTAACACCGCACCGAAATAAATAACTCTGGGGGGCGGTTTTCGCCGAACGATATAGTTAGCACCACGCAAATGAACGAAAATAAAGATTCCCGCGCCCTGGCTCGGGTGATATCCCAATTGGAATTGGACTACTACTAAGAAAAAATGACATGCGAGTAATGATACTGGGAATCCCAATTATAATAATAACAGGTGACAGAGAAAAAGAGTACTGATACGAGTAAAGGTGATAATAATAAGAGTAGGTCGTAAGAGTAAGAATACGAATAATAATAATACTCATTATCCGAATAAGAATGCGGATGCAAATAAACATAATAATAATTCGCACTGTCTCCTAGAGCGGCCTTCAAGGAAGCGGCGGGTTGGCAAAGCCGATTCACTATCTCGCTGAGCGCTTTCAGACAAGATGATGAATTGTTCCAGCCACGTGTGAAGGTATTTGTCACGAAGCGCTTCACGTGCGATGGCACGCGCAAATCTGACATCTGAAAAGACTCATTCATGAGAGGAGAAGCTCAGCTCCCAGGGTGGCAGGCGGGGATAGGGAGGCGAGCAGAAAAGGGTGGCTGCGGACGCGACCAGTCAGGGGTCTCGTGTGTCCGTAGGCCTACACTCCTGTGGAAAACGCGTACTAACTCACATTCGCACTGTCTCTCAGAGCGGCCTTCAAGGAAGCGGCGGGTTGGCAAAGCCGATTCACTATCTCGCTGAGCGCTTTCAGAGCCACATGTGAAGGTATTTGTCACGAAGCGCTTCACGTGCGATGGCACGCGCAAATCTGACATCTGAAAAGACTCCTATACCCATATGATGTCCAGGGCGGTGGTGGGGATGTAGGTTGGAGAAAATCAACGATACTGGCGCAAAGCATTCTTGAGCAGGTCTGGCAGCTTGCGGCCAGCAGCAATTGCCTCTCGCCTCTGGCGTGCTATCATTTTGTGCAGCTGTCGAAGGAGAGTGGCGTTTTTTTTTTTTTTTTTTTTTTTTTTTTTTTTTTTTTTTTTTTTTTTTTTTTTTTATATATATATATATATATATATATATATATATATATAAATTCATACAGTCTGACTGAGGCGCGGGGCACTTCCATTTCCCACGATCTTGGATCTGCTGGGGGCTGAGGGCCTTGAGGTCGGCGTCTGTAGAGGGCCCAGTGTGGCGAAAACAGTGCGGCACTATCCTGAGGCTCTGCAACTCCAACGCCTCACATGCGTCTTTGACGGCTTTCTCGTAAGACGGCAGAGTGAGGTGTCTGAAGATACGCTCACCTTCGCGAAAGGAGCTATGCAAGAAAGCGGCCACATCTTTAACGAAAGCACGGTCGAGGATGCCAATGATCAAAGTGTCGTCTTGCTCGCCCGATTTCGTTTTGCCCGTTCTTGTGCTAGGGGCCAGCGCCAGGCCCCAATTCACATAGCGTGAGCCCCGCTGCAGAAGTGGTGGCAGCAGGTCTTTTTTCTTGATGTCCAGTAAGGCGCTTGGACGCACATAGGCATTCACTTGCATTACCACCGCTAGCGAACACCAGAAGTAGAAAGCCTGATTCTTGAGCAGCATCCACTGAGCGATCAGCCAAGCGGCTTCGATCGGACAAGGGTCACGGATGCGACCTGGCATCTGCCGTATCCAGCCTCTCAACGCTGCCTTGGCTCTAGGTAGCACATGGCCGCCTCGGCCGAGGTGTGAGAGGTGCAGCAGCGCGTAGCCGTGCAGGGTCCACCTGCCCGCCTGAGGCTGCTCCCGTTGAGCGAACAGCCAGTCGAAGTTGTCCGACATCGCAGAGTCGGCCGCCTCTGGCGTCCGGAGGCCGAGGCCCCTGCCAGCTGCCCAGGCTCTGAACTCCGCGACCTCGGCCTTGTAGGTGTGCAGGGTGCTGGGCGCGACGCTGCGCTCCACCGGGTTGCGGGGCTGCGGAGCGGGCCCGTGTCGAACAGCCGGGGGACGGGCGAGTCGCTGTCGCCTGCCTTCGGGTCGCTGCCTGGGCGCGAGCAGTGGCCCGCCACTGCTGGCCGACGTAAGCGATGAGCCGGCCTGGGGCGAGGTCGAGGTCCTCGCCAACTTGAGGGGCCGACTTCCACTCGTCAAAGCCCTTTCGTTGACGACGTCGGAGCTCGGGTGAGATCGCCTGCTGGAGGCTGGCCGACACAACGACATGTCGAGACGTGACATCTCGGGATGCTGGAAGAACGTGGTGCCGTCGCGCGTGGGCGCGAACGAGTCGAGCTACATTGAAGCAGAACTTTGAGCCATAGACCCCTGCATGTCGGGACGCCTGCTTCCATCGAAAAACATGCCTGTCTTCATCCCACAAACGTAACTTGCCTGTGACAACGGTATGGACGTGGTTCTTCGGGCACTTCCTGGACAGCTGCTCCATCCCCGGGAGAGTGCCAATGAGACGTTTTTTTTTTTTTTTTTTTTTTTTTGTTGAGAACCATGCATGCTGGGCGCTCAAGAGGTCCTTTTCGCGAGCAGCTTCAACGTTCCGAATCCCACGCCTAGCGATACTGAGCGCACTGCATGGGGTGCCCAACCAGACGCACAGGATCTGGCCACTTTGGAGGAGCTTGACCAGGTACTGCCTGATACCAGGGTCGAGGAGGTCGTACTCGGGGCCCTTGGAGATCTCGAGGCCCTCCCCGCACGGAACGCCAACTGAGGCCACGGCTCGAGTGAGCCCTTCTTGGCCTGCAAACAGCTCAAGGAAAATAGCACCACGTCTTATCCGCAGAGTACGACTAAGGTCATAGCCTTTGCTGCGCCGATTTCCCAAGAGAGAGCCCGAAGGGGCCGACGTGCTAGGAGGAGTCCTTGGGGTCCCAGTAGGAGGCCCACTTGAAGTCCCACAGGGTGCCGAAAACGAAGTAGAGGGCCCGGTCGTAGCAGCCCTGGTAGCGCCCGCAGAAGAGGGCCCCGTAGTGGCTCTCGTGGAGGTACTCGTAGGGGAGGCCCTTGAGGTCGAGGAGCTGGTAGGAGCAGGAGCACTGGCAGCCGCGCAGGGAGCGGGCGGAGGTGGCGGAGGTGCCTGAGTTCTCTTTCTCGGGCGCACAGACGCCCCGACAGTCTCAGCGTCGCGGCTGCCTCGCAGCTGACGGGCAAGGGCACTCGAGGCGCCACCGACGGGGCGGCGCCAGGACGCGGCACGAACTATGGCCATGTCGTGGCCCCCACGCTCCAAGCCGAGGTTGGTGGCCTCGAGAGTCGGGTCGCTCCCAGAATCAAAACGCCGAGAGCCAGCGTCCGTCGGATTCCGGACTCCCTCCAGATGACGGGTTGCCCACTGGATGGCGCAGCCAATCGGCAAGGCGGCGGCGCGTTGCCCCAGGTAGCGGAGCCCCCCGTTCGTCTTCTCTGTGCCTCGCCCGCGCCCGCGATCAAAGGCGCAACAGGCGACCAGACTATCGGAGAGAGAAAGGAGCCGCTTCCCATGACAGCGGGGATTGCGGCGCGCCCGTCGAAGGCCAGTCAGCATCACACGGCCCTCCTTGGTATTGATGTGCTCCGTCGGGTCGGCCCACTTGCGCTCGAAGAGGGTCTTCCAGCGCTCAGGAGGGCCCGAATTCGGACCCGACGGGGGCGCCCGGCCGGCGTCCTCGCGAACCACCCGGTCACGAGAGGCTCGACGAACGTCTCCAGGAGCCAGGCGGTCGACCCTCTGCACGTGCTGCCGCTCGAGCTCCGTCGGGGACCGACGCGGCGCGCCCGAGGCCGGAGCAGCCCAGGGTTCCCCCCAGGCGTCAGGCGAGCCCCCCAAGGGAGAGAGAGAGAGAGAGAGAGAGAGAGAGAGAGAGAGAGAGAGGCCCGCCACCTCGCAGAGCTCCAGGTAGGGCACCAGCTCACAACGCCGATCCACTCGTTCTTCCACGAAAAGCCAGCGCTCATGGTAAGCAGCCGCCTCCCTGAGCTCAGCGTCGGAGGCGCTCGTCACGGCCAGGCAATAGCCCAGGTCCGAGGAGTCGGAGCAGTAGGCCATGCGGAGCCTCGACGCACCCAGATCCCGCTGACAAAGAAAGACGAGCCCCATGATCACTTTGATCTCCTGGCGAAGCGAGCCCCACACACGGCAGCGGCGGTCTAGGGCGTGTAGGATAAACTGATAGACAGTCCACAGGCAGGAGAGCGCCGGCCTGTTGAGCATGAATAGGTGCACCACGTGGCCGATCCAGATCCGCAGCACTTCGCCTCGAAGCCGACGACGCCGCAGGAGCTCCATGCCAGCCAAATAAACCCGCCAAACTCGACGGGGCTGGTGATGCAGTAGACGGCGCCGCCCATCAAAGACAGCACCAAGGTGTTCAAGGTAGGGGGTCTGCTCAACCACGTCGTGTGTCAGCATCCCTCGGTAGGAGAATTGTTGCAAAACGTGGCGCAAGTCTGAAGTCTCGGCATTGGCACTCAGCAGCGCGGCGTTGTCCACGTAGGTCGAGGTGATCGGGCTCACGAACGACACCCGAGGTACTCGGTCTCCCGGGCAGCTCGGGCGAGGCCTCTAGGAACCCCCGCGGCAACAAGGTGCTCTACAGCTGAGTGGCAGAGGTGTAATGCCCAGGTAAAACCCATGCTGAGCGCTCTAAAGCACGAGTACACAACATCTGTAGGCAAAACTGGCACCATCTTCTCAAGGTCATCGTCCCAGACCTCGGTGATCCCATAGACGCTGGACTCGTCGGGGTCGCCCATCCCGAACCAGCTGGCCATGCGCCAGTTGTCGAACTGGTATCAGCCGTCCACCACATCCAGGGAGCTCCCAGAGAAAGGACGGGAGAACACGCCCCCCTGTCCATTGAAGAGCTCAGCCTCCTCTTCGCAACTCAGCTCGGCGTCGGCAACATCAGAGAGCTCCGGCAGGCTGAGGTCAGTGCCCGCCAGAGCCGCGATCGCGCCCAGGTCGGTATGAGGTGGCGCCCTGCATTTTTTATTGGTGGCCCGAGCATCCACAATAAGACGGGCCATCCCAGTCTTCTTCCAAACGAAGAAACACGAGACTCTCGAAAAGATGCGGCACCTGAAGGTGAGCAGCTGGTGCTTGTACAAATTGGCGAACAACTCGCGTCGGATCTTCTTTGAGCGCCGAAGGTCCGGGCACCGGTATGGAGTGTCTGACGCGCCTCCCAATCGGTCCGCCTCCAGCTCGGCATCGCTCTTCAAGATGCGCGCGTCGGAAGTCCGTGGCCAGCCGCAACACAGCTGGGGGGGAACAGACTCAAGAGGCAGAGGGAAAGTCGCGCCCTTCGTCACCTTCAACTTCTCGGGGAGGTAGGGCGCCATGTGCTGTGGCTCCTGAGTGTACAGGTCTTTCGCTTTGCATACTTCTTTGAGTGCGTCAAGCGGGGTCAGGTCAGACGGCCGATCGCCGCGCAGGCTGATGCGATCATCAAACGAACTCAACATCGACATCTGAGAAGAACTGAACCTGCCCGGGCTACCCTCGGAAAGGCCGCCCATGTCTGAACATGCACTGGTGTGATGCAGGAAGTTGAGCGAACGAACGGGCTCCAGAAGACGCTGGTCTTGATGTCCAGCACGTCCACGCACCCCTCGCCACCGGCGCCCGGACCCCATGGAGGAGCCCTTGACCAAGCGGACAGGCAGAGGAAAGGGATCGCCATGCCGCTTACCACAATCGTCACGACCGCGGCGAACAAAACTCGGAGCGCGAGGCAACTGACCGGAAGCTCCTACCTGTAGAAGAGAACGGGCGACGCTGACGACCAGGTACTCACCAGCGCCTCGCCCCAAGGGGGCCTCAGCCCCCGTTGTTCTGACTCGAGTCGGCGGCGCCAGACTTGCCGCCGCCCTTGGACCCCTTGGGGCCCTTGCCACGCCTCTTCTCGTCGGCCTGTCTCTCCTCTCGTAGCAGTCGACTCTGCTTGAGCGTGAAGGCCCGCTGGCGCTGCTTCTCGGCGACCCACTTGGTGAACTTCGGGGCGGCAGCTCTCCCCCGATCCTCAGTGGAGCCCGCCAGCATGTAGCCGAGCCCGCTGTAGTCCCGGTGCTTCGCGTCCTTCTCCACCGCGAGCTCGTGCTGGATGAGCCGCTTGACGAGCTGCTCACCCATGGCCGAGTTTGCCAGGTTGATCTGGTCATACGTGAGACCCAAGCGCAAAGCCTCCAAGATGATGCGGTGATCGTGGGCGATGCCGCTGTTCGGCGAGACCCCCGCCGCCGCGCACCAGTTCTGATGGTAGGTGTCGAGCGAGCCGTCGGTGGTCTCGAGGATCCCGTCCAGGTACTCTTTGGCAGCACGAGGGTCGTCGAAAGGGAAGTCGTCGAACTTTGTCTCCTCAAGCTTGCCGACGGCGTCCTTGGCCTGCAGGAAGCGTTTGCCGCCCGCAGTGCGGAAGGTGCCCAGCAACCGAAGATCTCCTCCTCCGCCGACCCTGCTCTTCCACTCGGCAATGTCGTTGGAGTTGACCCTCGAAACATGCACCTCCGAGCCCGTGTCGTTCGCGTCGAGCTGGACCACCCCCTTAGTCTCGCGCAGCAGGGCCCGCGCGGCGTCATCCAAGATGCCCGGTCCCACCTGCTCACCAAAGCGGGGGTGCGACGGGTCGCTGACGACCCAGACCTCAGCTGCGTCCACCTCGATGTCTTCACCTGCAATGTCAGCCAGCACCTTGGCCCTGGCGATGGCCTCCCTGAACTTTCGCACCGGGATCGGATCAAAAAGGAAGCAGTCCGGGCTACAGCGGTCTGGAACGGGCCGGCCTCTCGCCACCGGTTCAAACCTGACTGTTGCCGTGTCCAATATCTGCAAGTTATGAGTGGGCGTGAGGACCACCCACCGGCCAGCTGAGATACGAACCGACAGAATTCTGTGGTGCCACGTGAAATTCGGGTCATCTGCATATCGTACCAAGACTTGTCTCTCCTTGATGTCAAGAGCGCTCATGATTTATCAGCGAGCCGTAAAGACGAAGGTGTGACAGGCCCGTTGCGTCCTCGAATGACCTGATCCGAGACCGTAGTCGAGGAAGAGACTGGAGAAATTCGCCGTCCAGAATACCTCCCGATCAAGAGCCCCACGATGAAACTCAGCAGGCTCAGACTGAATACGAGGCTCACACACAATTGAATCATGATGGTCGAACTCAGTTGCCTTCGCACCGACTCGAGCTGACGGGACAGTATCCGCTCGATGTGGTGGCACCCCCCGGCCTCCGTGGCAGCGTCACACTGGGAGGCTCCCTCAAAATGACGGTGGCAAGTCGGCTCACGAGCCGGGGCGTTGAGCGCAATCACGTCGCGCACAACTGAGTATAGAAAGTGCAGCTTATCTTGCGAAAGGGCGAACGTGCTGTCTCTCAAAGCGGCCCGGGCGGACCGCCCGAGCAGAAAAGGGTGGCTGCGGACGCGACCAGTCAGGGGTCTCGTGCGTCCGAAGGCCTACCCTCCTGTGGAAAACGCGTACTAACTCACATAACGCTAGTAATACCCATGACCATAATCATAATAAGAGAACTCGTGTTTTTCTGCTTTATCTGCATCATCCTTGTCCTATATGATTTATATTGCCACCCCTGTTGAAAACATGTTTTTTCCCGGCCGTCGTGTGGGGGTAGCGCATCCGAGGATATCGCCCTCGCCACGCACGGCGCGTTATCTTAGCACCCCCACCGCCAAAATGATTCGCTCCCCATCGTAGGCACGGACGGTTCCTTTTCAAAGCTGGGCTCTCCCTTGCGTGGGACTTAATGTTGTTACTGTTGGTGTTGGCGTTGTTGGTGTTTTTGATGTTGATGTTGTTGTTGGTGTTGTCTTTGGCCTTATTGTTCTAGATATAAATTTTATTGCTGGCATTATTGTCGTTGTTCGTGTTGGTGCCGTGACGTAAGGGAGTCTTGAGGAGGAGGAGGAGGCTTTTTTTCTGTCTAGCTGGGCCAAGGCCTCTTGACTGAGGCCTTGGCCCTCGGCTTGATCCGTAATGGCGAATAAGAGCCAACATATTGCGATAATGTCTCAGGCGGTGTGCTTGTTTCGGCGAGCAGGTTCGTCTGCATTCCCATAGAGGTGCGAGGTGCCAGGGTGACGTTTCTGGGGTGCCGGGTGCGTTATACTTTCGCCGGAGAGGGGGGGGGTTCTTACTTGCTTCTCCAGGTGACTTCCTCCGCTGCCGCGCCGTCCCCCGTCCCTGCTGCTCGTCCCTTCCCTTCTTCATCGTCGTGCTGAGGCGCCGCGGTGCGCGTGAGGCCCTCCGCCTCCCAGTCCTTCTGTTCCGCTCGCCTCCCTCCCTGCCCCCCCCGCTGGCTTCCCTTTTCTGTTCCTCCCCTCCCCCTCCTCCTCCTCCTCCTCCTCCTCCTCCACAGGCCTTCTCCCCGCCCCCCTCCCCCTCATCCTCCTCATTCTCCGCCCACGCCGCCTCATTCCGTCCCGCCCTCTTTTTCTTCTCTGCCTGCCCCTCCGCATCCCGATCCCTGCCTCCCTCCGTCTCTCCGCTCACCCCCTGCCCCGTCCTTCTCCGTTCTCTTCCCTCCTCCTTCCTCCTTCCCCCATCTTTTCCCTCCTCCTCCTCCTCGCCCTCCCCTGGGACGCCTCCAGACACCCCCCCCCTCCCCCGCACGAGAGCGCTCGGAGGTGCGACTGAACGCCGCCGAGCAACTAGTCGAGAGCAGCCTCCACAGAGGGTCTTCTCTTCGGCCACGGGCACGGGCGCTCCTCGGGCGGGGGCCTGGGTGCCGACGGGCCTGGCCAGGCGGCGGTCTTCCGTGGGGGCGGCTCACCACATCGCTGCGGCGGTCTCGACGGCGGCCACCATGCGGCCGTCGCCGCCGCTCCTGGCAGAAGGAGGGGGGTGTCCAGTTGGGCCGCCGGCGGCAACAGCAGAGGGGTATGCGAGGGCGCGGTGGAGCAGGCGGGGGGGGGGCGGATGGATGGGGAGGATGGGGGGGAAGGAGAGGAGGAGGAAGAGGAAGAGGAGGAGGAGGATGATGATGATGAGGAGGAGGAGGAGGAAGAGGAGGAGGAGGAGGGTCAGGAGGAGGGAGGAGGAGGAGGAGGAGGAGGAGGAGGAGGAGGAGGAGGGAGGAGGAGGAGGAGAGGAGGGGGAGGCGGAGGAGGAGGAGGGTCAGGAGGAGGAGAGAGAGGAGGAGGAGGAGGAGGGGAGGAGGAGGAGGAGGAGGAGGAGGAGGAGGAGGAGGAGGAGAGGAGGAGGAGGAGGAGGAGGAGGAGGAGGAAGGGAAGGAGGAGGAAGAGGAGGATGATAATGAGGGGGAAGAGGAGGAACCAGTCGCTGGAGGGAAAATGTCGCGCGAAACGCAGGACGCACCCTTCTAATGCAGCCTGTGGGCCGCCTCAGGGCCAAAAAGGCGGGCCCACATCCACCCGAAGGATCGCGATCCGAGGCGAATGCCAGCGAGTGCCGCGGCGGGGGGGGGGCGGCCGACCTCGCGATGGAAGTTGGACGCGTCGGGGCGCGGGGCGCGCGCGAGCGCGCGCCTCTCTGGCGCCTCTCTGGCGCCTCTCGCTCCGCCGATCGCCGATCGCAAACAGGAAAATAATGACGAGTTGGGCCAGGTCCACTTTTTAGGACCAGGCGGCAAGTCCAGAGAAAGTTTGGGACGAGTCAACGAATCCAGCTCAGGCCCTGAGGAGTCGTAACCACGAGGTTTCGGGGTCATCAGCTCTCAGGGGTCTGGGTTAATAGATGCTCCGAGAGTCAGCCCGACCCTCATGCCCAGGGTGTCTTTCCAGACGGAGCC